AACCTTCTCAAAACATAAAAAGGCCCACCTTTATAAATGCTGTCACAGCTTATCTTAAAGCTTGTCATGAAACTAATAGGAATTTATTGTAGTATGCCTAAAAGCAATAATGGAACCTATGAAAACTACTTCCTTTAGAGCCTTTCAGCACGAGTTCAAACCTATATGCTTTAAAACGACAGTTCTTATGCCAACATTGAAACTTATTGGCTAGAATTAAAACCTTTTCAGTTACAGTAAGCATTTGTTAAGATAATATAGTCCATAACGTGTCATATGATAGTCTCTTTTTATAACCAATTATAATACAAACATATCAAGATGAAGTGAAAACAATAGCTAGTTATAAAAGAGATTGAACATGGCGGTATGATAATTATGATGATTCCCTACTGTATCAAATAGTCCTTTTTGTGAAGATTGAGGCTGTAGAATGAGAACGATGACGACTTATTTGAAGAAAACATACCAGATATGCATCAAAAAAAGCAGCGCCCTAGAAATATTGTGTTTTTACCAGTTAGAATTGGATGTGAATTTTAATAACTTTTCAAAAAAGTTGACAAAACTGTGTGAATGTTTGCTGAATATGGGTGAGTCGTTCGAGAAATGTGGAAAACCAACATTTTCGACGGCAGTATGAATGCATCTTTTCTATTTTCCGCTTGAAATTTTCATTTCCATCAATGGCCGACATCTGTGTGTAGCTAATATTGCGCAAAATTTACTTAAAACCGATTTTCTTTCTCTAATGCTTGATTAAAACCTTTAGGTGATGATAAGGCATTTTATGAGACGATTTCCTCCTGTTGAAGTACTTATTGCATATTCAAATCCATTCTTATGACTATTTGCTCCTGGGTATGACAACAAAGCTTCGAAAATGATAAGATTGATTTGAGAAGGTTATGAGATAATGCCTTCATAAAACTATAAAGCTTTATGAATATCCTGGCTAGTGCTCATTGGCAGTGTTGCAAAAAGTAGAAGTACGTCATCAACATGATTAACATAACCCTACTTTTTTTATTTACAGTGTTCACTTTGTGAATTTCGTGATTGGTTTTGAGTAGGAAACCGGGTAGAAAACATAGACAAACTACACTCAGTGCAGTTCGCCTAATATTGTGTTGATTGCTCCATTCTCTCAAATTCATGCTCAAGTCGCCATCTGACATTATTTGTGCAAAACTGTTGTCAACTTCCTCGCTTCCTAGTTCCCATTCAGAAGCACCATGATCAGAAGTATTTTCCATTACGTTCTGACTCGTTGATGGTACTTCATGAACATCAGGTCCTAATGAATTCTTGCTATTTGGTGGTTTCAGGTGGGAAGCATTGAAAGACGCAGTGTTTGGAATTGCTTGGGTCTGAGATTTCTGATTTACTGTTGCTCTCACGACTTGATTTTTACATTTTCTTTATTCTTTCGCTCGAAATTGCCATTTCTCTCAATTGCACACTATTTATTTTCTTGTGAGTTCATTTCATCGTCGTTTTTAGGCAAAAAAATACGAACATTTATATCATGGGATTTGGGTTTGACACGGTTCTAAATAAAACTACATAAATCCTATAGATTTTATGATTGACTTCGATGAATTCATTGTGGCTAATAGGTTTCAATAGTTACTTTCACAGAGCTAGAATAATGCCATTAGGTTTCATTATTGTCTTAGTCAAATCATAGATCTAATTATTGCTTTATGACGTATTTTCATAGGATTAGTTCAAAACCTCTTGGTCAAATTCGAAACACTAATGAAACTCAAGTGTTTTATGAGGGTTGTTAAGAGTAAATAGTTTTGATAAAGAATTTCAATGACTTTCACAGAGCTCTCTCAAAACCGAAGTGAGCTGAATGCCAAATTGTTTTATGCGATAGTTCTATCATAGTATCTTGAAGCCTTTTAATAGGATTATATGGACATGAAGGCCAATATGCTTTTTCCAGGGTATTCAGTAAAGGAGCTACAAGAGAACCAGACCAATTTTCAAAATTCTAAGTCCTTTTTCCCCAGATTCTACGGAAATTACACGATGTACGGCAAGAAGCCCCATAAGAGCCAATGTAAAGCAAAGCAGATTTTTCCCTAGATCTACGGACTTTTTCAGCGGATTTTAAGGTCCATTCTGGTCATTTTTTACGCTTTCAAGGTCATTCGGCTCCGACGGCGAGCAAAGCGATAGATCCGTTCTAGAGATAACGGCGCGCATTTCATTCCATTTTTTCACTTAACAACGGCTATAAACAGGGTGTTTGAGTTGGGTAATAGTTGGGAAAAAAAATATAGGGTGAACCCAAAAGGCGTTATACCTCCTCGACGAGTAGACTACCAGCATATAGGCTACCCGCTAGCTGATGATTCAATCTAATATATCGGGTGTTTGAGTTATATATTAGTCGAGAAATATATACAGGGTGATCCGCAGTAATACTACCCCACTTTGGGGGGGTATCAGAGGGTTGAAGAGGGTGCGGGTACTCTAACAGAAGAATTTTTAACGGGCACTTCGAAAATAATGGTTCGTCCATATGCAAAGTCTCAAAGTTTATGAGATATCATTTGAAATGTGTGTGGAAACGTTCAGTTAGGTATGTGATGGAAATAGGTAATTGATGCTGAGGCCAGATTTCATTAGCCATGGAATATGTCGAACAACTCTTCATCAAAACTCGTTCAATCTACCAGCTCAAGCCAATCAGAGGCCAGCATTTGGTTGGAGGCCACGCCCACTAAAAACCAGCGCGAAATTCAAATTATTCATACGGCGTCACGTCGCCATCGTGAATAAATAAATTAAAAAAAGCTGTCACCGCTGGGGGGAATTGAACCAGGGACCTTTGCATTATGAGGCAGCGTATATACGCACTGTGGTATTCCGACCTCCGTGATATTTCAATTATTTTAATGCTATTCAAACGGGATATCCATAGCTGGCGCGCGCTCATCTTTGCAACGGATCCATCGAGGTAGAGTGAAGCGAGAGATGCATTCCAGAGATAAGAAACTTCGAGTCGAAAATAATATCCATCGCAGGCGCGCGCTTATCTTTGCAACGGATCTATCGAGGTAGAGTGAAGCGAGAGATGCATTCCAGAGATAAGAAACTTCGAGTCGAAAATAATATCCATCGCTGGCGCGCGCTTATCTTTGCAACGGATCTATCGAGGTAGAGTAAGGCTCGAGCGCTCGGCGCTGCAACGTTGTCGGACGTATGTGTTTGGATGTTAATATTGTTACATTATTATGTGTGGCAACGCTGTCTCGCTTCATGGCGTTCGAAGATCCAGCAAAGCGAGAGATCCCGTAGAATGATAAGCGCGCGCGCGCTCGTATTGGAAACAAATACTTGAATTAATTATTTATTTTATAGTGGGTGACGTTATGCTGTTGGTTTTCTTCTTCTGGTAAAATGATCACGTGTGGGTACTCTCAAAATAGGATTTTTTATGGACAATTCGGAAATGTCAATATACCTATATGCAAAGTCGCATGGTTTGAGGGATATCGTTCTACCATTGACATATGTCATTAATGGTACATTAATGCGAAATGAAACTACTACTACGAGGAAAATTATTGTTAGATAATCAATTTTTATTTCACAGTAAAGCTTTTTTACAAAAATAGTATGATTCTTGAGAAGATGGCGGTCCATCCCAGTGAGTATTTAATGACAAAAACAAGATTGAATTTCCATATACAGGGCGTTTGAGTTGATTGATAATTGAAAAAAATATATATTCAGGGCAGCCCATGGGGGTAAAAGAATACGAAAACGAAGATAAATAAACTATTTATTTGAGTAATCCTTTTCTACAAAAATGACATGCCTCTTGAGAAGATGGCGGTCCATCCCAGTGTGTGGTCCAATCGGGACGATTATAATGAACGAAGCATGGCAGTTTGATTTGTAGGTTAAAGTTGCTGCGATATTCTTGAGGAAGTTTTTGCCACACCCTTAATAGCCCATAAGGATCTGCATATTCAATGAGACATTCTACTGGAATGTACTGCAATTCTTGTTCAGTGAATTTCGTCAAAGTCAAAGCGGGAGATTTTATAAACTCCAATAGCACAGCTATTTCAGACTTCATGATTTTTCGAGCAGAGCTAAAATATTTCAGATGCTACTAGTCTCGCGTCAAGTTGTAGACTGATGAAATGAAAAAAACTAGTCACATTTTTCACAACATTTTATTCAAATCAGACATAACCTCATTTTTACAATAATATAGATATTCTCTGAGAGCGTTACTAGACATGCTATCACAAACATCACAAAATCCAGATATAAGCTCTTCCGCACCCAAATCAGTCAGGCTATTTCTAATCCAATCGGCTATAGTATTCAAAATGTTCTGATAATACATGGAAAAGTCCAATTTGTTTATTAGCGCAACTCGATGTGAAACAACACACGTTTCAGCACTCAAAATGTCTGCAACATCCTCTTCCACCAATTCGAATGTAATGTGGTATTTGGTGAGTGACAACATTTTGACACCATCGCAAACGAATTTGGTTATGGTGATATAAGTCTCCGCAGGTGGTAACGGCAGGAACATATTCATCAATGAAACAGGGCAGGGGTGCTTCAAAAAAGTCTTGTTGTACCTTATACAGCGAATCGATGAAGGTGGCCCATTCATATGTGGAGAACGAAATTTTCGCTGGATGGAAGGGTTTCTTCAGGATGATGCTCGGACTAACATAAATTCTAACTTATAGACGTGACAACGGTGTTCTTATGATCGGAGTTGTTCGTAGCAAAACTGTGTGAATCCAGGAAAAATAAATATATTCTCAACTCAAGAATGACTTCCTGAAAGGTCAGTGATCGATTATTAAGTTGAATTGTGAAATTATACAGATTATTTTCGAGAAAATCAACAAATCATTAACCTAGAAGCAGTGAAAACAGGCGTACTCAATAACACATTGTTGCCAAGTCGCAAAATTAGTCATTTTTCTCCAAACAAAATGTCATCGAAAATGACAAGATCACAAAGTCGTTTTCAAGCAAGCGGAGATAGAAACTTGAGAAGTATATTACCTGCGAAGAAGTCGGTCACAGTAAATAGTCCTACAAGTAACGAGGATGAGAAATACCAGAAATATCAAAAGGAAATTGAAAGGTTGATTAAGGAACTAGAACTGAAAGAATTGAAAGAAAACGAGAAAGAGTGCCTGATAATCATGTTACAAGACGAAATTCAAATTTTGAAAAGAGATAGCCTGGAGAAGGAGAAATACATCACTCAACTAAAAAGACGCAATCAGGATTTTGAAGATGATGTAATTGAAGCAGAACAAAGTTTTTCCATAGAAACTCAAAAGCATAGGCAGACAATATCGGAACTCAAGGAAGAAATCGTTAAAATGACTGAAGATATCACACTTTTACAAGAGAAAAATGAAGAGTCCGAGTCGAAGCTCAGAGAAGCAGAAAGTATCATCAAGGAAATGAAGGAAATGAGAGAAAATATGTTAACATCCATTGAGGTTCTTACTCAAGAAAATTGTTTATATTCTAGCAAAGTGAAGGAGATAAGGAATGAAAGACACTTAGCTGAAGTAGATCTAAATAAATACACGAAGCCACAGAAAAACGAAAAGAGTGGAAAAACAGTCGCAGAGAGAAAAGGAAATAGGAATCCTGAGAATAGTCCTAGAATAACTCATGGAGCATCTGGAAATAGGATTTTAATAGTTTCAGGAATTCAAGGTAGGGATGTTGCAAATAAACTGAACAATATATTAGGTGAAACTCACAAAATTCAGTCAATATTGAAGCCAAATGCGTCGGATAGGGTATTAATGGAAACTGCTCTGAATAATAGCAAGGATTTCCGTGATAATGACGTGGTTATTCTCTGGCCGAATAGATGTGAAAGAGCAACCATCAGAGATTTTATAATAAACCTTAAGCATACTCAACCCCTCATTATCACAGAAGCCTATCGCTATGATCATTGGAAAAATAATGAAAATATCTATGAAAGAAACTTAGATCTATTCATAGAAATATATTCTTTAGGACTGAACATATGTCCTATCTTCGAATGCAACAACACTGTCAATAGAAACTGTTACAAAACGGATGGGGTTTGTCTCAGTAACAAAGGAAAATCATTATTATGCAAGGGTATAGCAACTTATATAAGATATCATTATTGTAAAATTTCTTCTGTAACTTACGATAAGCATCCCAACATTTCCTTACCTGGATTGAAAACCTGTACCACTAAAAATGATGAAAATGTAACACAAAGTAATGAAAATAATGAAAATAGTAATTTTTTATGCCCACCATTATCCCAAGCAATAACGATAGAAAACTACTAGAATCAATTGTCACAGGTAAAAATCCATCTACTGTTATATCAAATGACTCATCGTGTTTCTCGAACATGAAAATTTTCAGTGCAAATGTACAGTGTTTGTCAAATAAAATAAACTTAGTTGAACAACTGATGATTGATATAAACGCAACATTTATCTGTCTCAGTGAACATTGGGCAAATAAAGATCAAATCATAGATATTGAAGGCTATAAGGAGATCAGTAGGTTTAGTAGACTCTCTCATAAGCACGGAGGATCAATTATTCTTGTGAAAAATGGTGTTTGTAATAAATGCAAAAATTTAGAATTTATTTGTAACCTATCTATTGAGCTTACATTTGAATGTTCCGCCATCTCATTTGATAAAGATACGACCATAATCTGTTTGTATAGATCACCAAACAGCAATGTTAACTTGTTCCTTACGCAACTTTCCTCTCTACTGGCAAAAGTTACCGAAACATTCAAAAATGTGTTTATATGTGGGGACTTCAATATTGACAGTCTAACAAGAAACATGGATACAATAGTTCTGTATGATATAATTGAATCATACGGTTTTATATCTCTTCTCAATGAACCAACAAGAATTGGACATTGGGGTGATCGTGTAACAATCAGTAGCATAGATTATGTACTAACTAACATCAACAGAAACAGTCTTACCCTAAGTAACATTGATCTTGCCTTATCGGATCATCATTCTCAAATCATAAGTTGGGAAAGTGAAATGAAAAATACTCCTACAAACACAAAGAATCCGGAAGAAACTCATAAGTTCAGGAAAATTAACGAACTCTCAATAGCAGAATTTAAGAGATTTCTAACTGGTAACATGGAATTCCTGAACAACTTTATTACCACCACGTTTGCCAATTCCAATGAAGCATTTAATGTTTTTTGGGAACATTTTCATTGGTGTTTTGAGGCAGCATTTCCTAAATCCACAAGATATAGAAAATACCAAGAGAAGAATAACAAAATCACCCTTTCCACCTCATTACAGAAAAAAATTGATAATTTAAAGCACTTGAATCACCTGAGGAAACAGGATAACTCTGAAAATAGTGACATCGCTTATAAAATAGCCAAGAAGGGTGTTGAAAATGTAATTCGTCAGGAAAAAATAAATCATTTCATGAAAAAAAGTTCAGGATTCTACGAATAAAACCAAAACACTCTGGAATATTATAAAACAACCACATAAAAATAATGAAAACAAATGTATAGTACTGAGTCATGATGATAAAATAATCAGTAGCGAACAAGAAGTCGTAGTAACATTCGGAGAGTATTTCTCAACAATAATTGACGAGAAAATCAGGACACATTTCCCAGGGAAAGATTCAGAAAGTTGTACCACAATGCCAAATGTCAATTCAACCATGTTTTTTGAACCAGTCACTACGGATGAAGTAAAGAAAGTTATAGCCTCTCTAGATAATAAGAAAAGCACAGGACATGATGAGGTCTCCACAAGAATAATAAAAGAATGTGTGGATATATTATCGGAAGTTATAGCACATATTATAAACTTATGTATTTCGTTTGGAGAATATCCTGATCTGCTGAAAATTGCGGTTCTTGTCCCTATACTCAAAAATGGTGACAGTAAAAATATCGAGAATTATCGTCCGATATCAATAATCAGTGTATTCTCAAAAATTTTTGAAAAAATTATATCTGGCAGAATAAATGATTACTTGGAAACATTCGATCTAATGACAAAGTGCCAACATGGGTTCAGAAAAAACCGCTCGATAGAGACTGCAACGCTCAATTTTGTACAAGAAGTACATGATTTAATGGATAAAAAAAACATTGTGGTCGGTCTATTTTTTGATTTGAGTAGAGCCTTTGACACTTTGAACATAAAATTCGTATCAGATAAGCTATTTAAGATTGGTATTCGAGGAAACATAAATCATCTTATAGTGTCATTCCTAACAAATAGATATTTCCAGGTGAAACAGAATGATATAATGTCCGATAAATACCTAGTAACAAATGGGACGCCTCAAGGCAGTGTACTTGGTCCATTAATCTTTCTATTATATGTGAATGATCTACCTAATAATATAAGTAATGGTGCGGTATACCTTTACGCAGACGACACTTCCATTATTCTATCAGGTAAAACAGCGGAAGAAATGCATAACCTTGTTAACTCAGTACAACACGAATTTGATGACTGGTGTTACAAAAATAGACTTATAGTTAATATGAGTAAAACTGTCTGTATGGAATTTGCAAATTCATCTCGAAGCCTACATGATTTTAATTTCATTTTCCGAAATGAATCCTTGGCTTCAACAAGTTCAACAAAATTCTTAGGTACCATTATTGACTCGCATTTCACTTGGCGAGAACATATAGAATTCACATCCAAGAAATTGAATCAATCGTATTACCTCATCAAATCCCTTAAGAATAAATTAGATACCAAAGCACTGATAACAATCTATTTCGCCAAGTTTCAGTCTATCATTTACAACAACATTGCTGTCTGGGGTTTAGCAACTGAAGTGGACAGAATTTTCATAAAACAGAAAGCATTACTGAGGCTAATTTTCAATCTAGACTACAGAACGTCATGTAAAGAGATTTTTCGTCAAAATAAAATATTAACTGTTGCTTGCTTGTTCATTCTAAAAACATTGACGTATATCCACGGAAACAGAAGGCAACTAGAGTCGAGATCGGAAGTTCATGATTACCATACTAGGAATAACCATATGATCCTCACCCAAAAACACCATCACACAAAGTATAGAAAGTCTCCTATGTTTGCTGGTATCCGTCTTTTCAATATACTGCCATGCGATATAAAGACACTTCCCCCCCTAGTTTTTAAAAAACAGTTGAAAGTGTTTCTATCAGAAAAATGCTTCTACACAGTAGATGAATTTATACTTGAAGTTGGTAATGTCAGATCACTGTCATTGTAACGTTTTTAGCATGTTGTTTACTTATCTATTCTATTCTTACTTTTTTTAAATGTATTTGTTTGTTTTACAATGTGTGTCACGTGATATTTTTTACTTGAAATTTTCTTTATTCTTATATACATATATATTATACCTGACAAATATGACCTGTCCCATCTACATAATGTAGCACAAAGGACTAATAAATCTATCTATCTATCTATCTAAACTGTCTAGCTGGACTAAGTCCGCACTGAATCATGTAGGTGGACAACTGGAACGATGAAGTCAGCAGGAGGTACGATTCGGCTTTCGCTGCTTGCTCAATCATGTCCAAATATGTATCAACGTCACCATAATAACCCATCATTGCCAATGAACTAGTACTACCGTTTTCGGAAAGCACTTCACTAGATGAATAACCAGAGTCTTCACTCATTGTTCTCGAACTGATGTGTTGAAAGTTTCAGTCCTCATTATTTATACCACCACTGCCAACACGTCACAACATCCGATAATGGTTGTTATTTGTCAGCGATCGACGTGAAAGGCCCCTCACATCCATTGAATTTGTGCTAGTTTTCCATATGATTACATTATAACTTGTTGGTGGAATCAATCCAGCTGTTGTGTGTATCATCGAATCCTAGCCATTTGACAAACACCTTTTTACCCCTCTTCCTTAAAACTTTTTCCACTAGGTAAACATCGGAATTTTCAGTTTTTTGCAATTCTTCAGGATAAAAAGCACCTTTGATCGGAGTACCATGCAAATCTTCCAAGATGTATGTAGTAGGTTTCGTAATACGAACTTTTACGATTTTAAATAGTTCAGTAGTCCAATTTGGTGTATAATTCTTTTCAGAAACATGTTTGGCTTTGCTTATTCTCACAATGTCACCAACGTCGAATTTTCTGGTTCCAGCAATTTTGATGTGATTGTACGTGGATTTTAAAATATCATGTTCGTTGGCTTTGGTGACGTCACTGGGTTTGCATCTTATTGTCGTATGTTTCGTGTTATTATAATTTTTCGTGATTTCAGGCAGGACATCTATCCAACGGTATGAGCCATTCAAACTAAAGTACTTGTATAGTTTTTCCTTCAATGTCCGTATAACACGTTCAGCAATGGCTGCCTTCATTATGGTATACGTATGATAATGGTTGATGGAGAACTTTTTCATCAGACTTTGAAACTTTTCGTTGTAGAATTCAGTACCTTGATCGGTTTGCAAATTCTTGGGAATTCTGGTGTTGCCAGCATGTGATAGGATATCTGCAAATGCTCGAGCGATTTCAGCACCAGTTTTTGATTTTAGTGGTCTAGTCCATAGGTACTTGGAAAAACAATCAATCACGACCATTATCAGCTTGTGATCCTTATTAACAGAGGCATAAGGTCGCATTTCGGCTAGATCCATTTGCCATAAGTCATCCAAACCTTTGATGATAATGCGGCGCCTTGGAAATTTTTTCCTAGCAGGTCTA